TACAAATTCAGGTTTTCGTCACCACCGTCAGATGTGTCAACTCCGTCAGTTCTGTCACCTCCGTCAGTTGAATATTTTGATAATATTTCATTATGATATTTTATATTTGTTGTGGAATTATTGGTCACGTGAAAGTGTAATCTGTCTGCTAACACGAGAATGTGTTTTGAAATGTTAAAAACATCTTGAATGCTGTTAAAGATAAAGTTGAAATTATATTACACAGTCCAAGGTAAAAAAATCACATTTTGTTAAAAAAGAGAAAAGTTGGGAGGTTGTATCAAAGCATAGCTCAGTAGCTTAGTACATATAAGATACATAAATGTAGTTTCATTTATCTGAGTACAAGGTTTTATTTTTTCAATTTTGCACCCTATTTTGTCCCACTTCTCAAGAATGACTGATTTACTAAACTCCACCTTCTACTAAACTACCCTGAAAACAAAAACTTTACTTCTGTTAGTTACCAAGGCAACATTTCTCAGTTTAGTTTAGTTTAACTTGATGTACTAAAAGAAGTAAAACTAAAATAAATTTAAAAATAATTAATCAAATTAATTAGACATAAAAAAAACAACTAATATAAATGAAAACACAACAAAATTACTCAAACTTTAACTAAAAATTGAAAATGGAAAAAATGAAAAGTAAAATACAACTAAAAATAAAATAAAACTAATAATATCTCAATAATATATAGTTAAATGGGGACTAAATGGGGCCATTCCATAGATTACTAAAAACAAACCCTAACCTGTAAATCTCTTGCATTATTACCATTAAAAAAAATTTAAAAAGAAAGAAAACTTTATTTACTTTTAGACTTCTTTTAAAAATTTACCTCACTTCTGGGTGCCCAAAGTAAAAATAAATAAAGTAGGTACACACACACACAAATGTCTGGTTTACTATCCTTGTGGGGACTGTCCATAGGCGTAATGGTTTTTATACTGTACAAACTGTATATTCTATCGCCCTACATCTAAACCTACCCCTCACAGAAAACTTTCTGTATTTTTACATTCTCAAAAAACAAATTCTTTATGATTTATTAGCTTGTTTCCCCATGGGGACCTCAATTTAGGTCCCCACAGTGACACGAGTCCCCATGAGTCGGTGTGTATTCAGGTTTAAGTCCCCACCGGCAGTGGTCGAATTGTAAAAATATTTCAGGGGGGATGGTGTGGTCAGTTTCTTTTTTTCAGTTCCTGTAGCTAATTTTACATAATGATCACAAAATTTGCGTAATTTAAAAAAAGGTTTTTAATGAAAAAATTTGCCTTATTCAATGAACTATAATGTATAAGCTTTTTTCTTCTGGTGCCTGAAATGGAGGAATTTTGGTCAATATTTTGCTAAATGTGTTTTTGTGTTGGTAGTGCTGGCACCTTGTCTGGTTGTGGGAAGTCGTGGCCTAATGGTTAGAGAGTTGGACTCGTAACCCAAAGGTTGAGGGTTCGAGTCTCGTACCGGCAGGGATTGTAGGTGGGGGGAGTGAATGTACAGCGCTCTCTCCCACCTTCAATATCACGACTGAGGTTCCTTTGAGCAAGGCACCGAACCCCCAACTGCTCCCCGGGTGCCGCAGCATAAATG